CTTTAATGTATACACTCGATTTTAATTAGTTTTCAAGATATAGCGTTTACAAATTTCCCGATTTTCAGTAGCGGAGGTCTACGCTAGGAACGGCAGACCCAAAGAATAACCGCTGTGGCGCTTTTACAATAGGGCTGCTTTTACCACTTACTACTCAAACCGAGATGTATCAACTGAAAATCGGGAAATTTGTAAACGTTATATCTTGAAAACTAATTAAAATCGAGTGTATACATTAAAGCTTAATGAATTTGCCTTGAGAAGCACTATCACATGATCTGAAAAAAAATATATGGTTCCATTTAAAAAACAAAACTTGACCATCATATCTCTTAAACTAATAATGCAAAAAATTTTTCACTTCGGTCAAAACATAGACCTCCTTTTTCCATGCAATTTCTATATCAACAATTTTTTGTATCATTAATAGTTACGAAATAACGGAATTATAACACTTAAGCCGAGACACCCCGTATGTAGAAGAAGAAGGCTCCGTCATTCTTTTTAACACCTCTGAATTATTATGCGTTGCACCCTAGACATATTACTCATTCATTGTTTAACTCATTCACTGTTCATTACGCTTCTGTGACATAAACATTTCTTCTTCAATATTAGGAAATTCTTCTATAAACACAAGGAAGCAAAATATGGTATCCTCCATTGAGGATATTTTTATTAATTATAGATTCAATTATAAAGTGAAAACTGAACAAAACTTACAAAAACTTTATATTATATTATGCTGTTGTAAAAGAATTAAAAATATTCATTTTTGCAACTTATATATAGGCACTGTAGTGTTAATAATATTAATTCTTTGGTAACCATTCAATCTTATTATTAAAATTTTGTACTATACATTTAGATATTATTTTAAGCAAAATTTGAGTAGGTATCTAATTTTAATCAATACACCGTTTGATAGATATGGGCCACGATTGACTCAACCACCCCTTTTCAAAGGTTAATTTAGTGAATCTTCGATGTAAAATAAAAATTGTAGAAGAAGATATCTTACCTTATAAAATAACAAACTCAGATGTTACTTAGCAATTAACACAATTAAAGTACCACATCCATACCTTAGTTATAAATAATTTGCAATTTTCTATTATTTAGTTATAGTTTAAAAACTTCACAAAGTTATAGCCTTTAAAATATATGTATTTCTGTTTTCATTATTACACTGATAAAGTTGATACCTAATATCTTAGACAAAGACAATGCACAGGTATAAACGAGTATCGATTCAAGCTATCATTAATTTTACTCACTCACTCAGTACTAAACGAATCAATTTGCTTTGAAATGAATACTAAACTAAATAATCGCATTGTGTAAACGGGACATAGTGTAAAGTGTAAAGTCTAATGGAGTCTTTTCCCTCAACATCACTTTTTCCTCTAGGGAATGCTAGCATAATTGATAGTGTATGTAGAATCTCGTGTAACTTAGGCTTTCTTTAGTTAAAGGGAACTATAGAAGAAGAAATGTCTCATCACTCGACTTATTTGTCTATGTTCTTCATCTGCAAGGGCAAGAGGTTCTAGTTTAGACCTTTTTGACTTTCCTAGACTCTCCTAGACTCTCCCAGACTCTCCCAAATTCTCCTATTCTCTCCTAAGTTCTCCTATCCTCTTGTAGGTTCTCTTATTCTTTCCCAGGATTTCCAAGATTCTTCTAGGCTCTCCCAAGCTCTCTTATTTTTTCCTAAGTACTCCTGTTCTTTTCTTGGTTCTCCTATCCTCTCCCAGGAATTCCAAGGTTCTCTCAGGCTCGCCTAGGCTCTCCCAAGTTCTCCTATTCTCTCCTAAGTTCTCCTATCCTCTTGTAGGTTATTCTGTTCTTTCACAGGATTTCTGAGATTCTCCTAGGCTCTCCCAGGCTCTCCCAGTTCTCTTATTCTCTCAAAAGTTCTCCTATCCTCTACCAGGATTTCCAAGGTTCTCTCAGGCTCTCCCAAGCTCTCTTATTCTCTCCTAAGTTCTCCTATCCTCTTCTTGGTTCTCCTATCCTCTCTCAAGGTTTCCAAGGTACTCTCAGGCTCTCCCAAGCCCTCTTATTCTCTCCTAAGTTCTCCTATCTTCTCCCAGGATTTCCGAGGTTCTCTCAGGCTCTCTCAGATTCTCCTAGGCTTCCCAGGTTTCCCAAGACTAAAATCGAAAAGGTTACCTTGCACCCAATTATACATACACTTACATCTCTAATTCTCAAGATACTAAGTATACCAACTTTTCTTCCAGGGAAAATACATATACAAACAAAGCAGCGCCCATGGAAAGCGAGTGCAGTGTAATTTGGGAGCGAAGAACCACTGCGTTGTATTACCAGACGCAAACAAAAACAAGACCCTTTCTCAAATTGTCGGCGCCGCATTTGGAGCAGCTGGACAAAGATGCATGGCACTCTCGGTTGCCATATTCGTCGGTAAATCAAAGGACTGGATACCAGAGTTAATAAAAGCTGCGAAAAACTTGAAGGTCAATGCTGGCCATATTCCCGGAACCGACATTGGACCAGTTATATCACCACAAGCCAAAAAGAGAATATGTGATTTGGTCGAGTCAGGGGTGAAAGAGGGTGCAACGTTAGCCCTCGATGGCAGAGGAGTCGTTGTCAAGGGTTTCGAGAAGGGAAATTTTGTCGGACCAACTGTGCTGACCAATGTAGAGGTACATTTGTGCAATGAAGTCGTATTACGCTTTAATTGAACGGAGCTGACAGTTGTTTCAATGCTGAGGGGGAATGCACGTTGCGCTAGGTGACGTTGATTGATGCTAACTTGTTCAAGTTCATAGAGAGAAGGGGTCGGACGTTTTTAAACGGGTGGTTTTAATTGGAGGGTCCTCGCCTTTGAAATACTGTTGAAATTGGGACACTGTTATGTAATTGAACGGGTGTAGATTTGTATATACAGGGTGATCAATAAGTACTTGACAATTGTGATTTAAAGTAAAAAAGTAACATTAAAAGATACCAAAATTTTATCAGAAAATGTTTAATAAAATTTAAAGAGGTGTTCAATTGATCAGCTTTTCAAAATGTTTTACTGATATTTTTTTATTTCAAATCACAGTTGCTAAGAACTTATCGATCATTCTATGCATATTGCATATGAAGATATTAATTGAGCTTTTGTAAAGTGTGAGAAATTTTATTTAATATTATTGAGATACATCTTCAGAGATATTTTGAATGAGTGCTAATGCTTTTTTAAATACATACAATGTTATAAATTCAGTTAGAATCATTTATTAGAATCTATATATTTTAGTTATTGAAGAAATGTAGGAATTTGTTGCTGTATACTTATTTGCTATTATTTAGTTTTATATTTTATTTAGAAAATTATTAAGAAAGTTTGTAATCTGAATTACTAATTATAATTAGAATATTAATCTAATTGTCACATTGAAGCTACTGAAAGTTTCATTAGGAAATACTTATATTTTTAACAAATCTTATGATTATTTTCACAATATTTTATTATTCTCATTGTCTATCATTCCAAGTACCTAAAGTCTTTTACTTATCTAATATTTTAATTAGTTAAATAACAAAATTTCTAATGATATAGATGATGATTCCTTATAAAAATTCATGTAATTCATGTATGGATCAATCAGCGTGTTAAATTTTTATTATTGCTCTTATTATTTTCATATTTAATTGAACTCCATTTAAACTAAATAAAATTTTATATTATGTTTCAGCCTTCAATGCAGTGTTATATTGAAGAAATTTTCGGTCCAGTACTTGTCTGTATGTTCGCTAATACATTAGACGAGGCTATTAATATTATTAACAAAAATCCTTACGGAAACGGAACTGCTGTATTCACTACAAATGGTGCAACAGCGAGAGCGTTTGTAAATAGAATTGAAGTTGGTCAAGTTGGTGTAAATGTTCCTATTCCTGTGCCACTACCAATGTTCAGTTTTACAGGAAATAAGGGATCTTTCTTAGGTGATAATCACTTCTATGGAAAACATGTAAGTATAATGTTTTGTACAGACCTTAAATTTACATATATAATTAGAACAATGCATTAAAATTTTGAAGTTTATAGTAGAATTAAAATAAGAAATTGAAGGAATATTAAGATGAATTTTATAATTTTTTAGTTACAACTGTTAGGTTTTTTAAAATTATTGATATTTTGTAACATATTGGTCTTACATATTATAAAAATTGAAGAGTTAAGTTTTGAATTCAATTATGGAATAATTATTGAACATTGAAATTTCGATTTTGAACTTTTGCAATATGTATGTAATTCTGTTTTGTACTGTAAAATTTTTTAATTAAAATAATTGAAAAATTCAATTATTTTAAAATGCTACTTAAAAGATATTTGAAACAAATTTATATCAGTATGTTTACTAAATGTGTCAAATGTTTTAGGGCATTAACTTCCACACACAAGTAAAAACGATAACCCAGTTGTGGAGATCTGGAGATTCCAGTGACATCGCATCCTCAACAGCAATGCCGACTATGCAATAAAAGAAATTTAATTCGAACATCACTTTGAATATGTAAAATTTAATTAAAATACTGGTTCCTAATTTTTGCGCTTAAAAACTTCAGAGTCTAAATATATTTAGAAATAATTCTACTTCTTCAAGAAGTGTAATGTATAAGTTATACAGAATGTCTTCCATTATTCCAAAATCAGTTATTCGTATAACTGAACAGGGAGTGTTGTCCTATTATATTTAATGTACCTATATTTTGTAATAAAATAATAAAGTCTAATTTCTATGCATAATTTTCATTATTAGTATTAAGAACTACTTTTATCAATTTTAATATAAATCATAAATTTTTAAATACTACAAATATAACAAAAATGATACAAATTAAAATAGGCATAGTTAGAAAATATAATTCATTATACCTTATTATCAAGTTTAAAATATAATTATTTATAGAATTAACTTACATCAGTATATTTTGATACATTAAAATTTCTTTAACAAATATATTTGCATATTCAAAATTAAAGATTAAAACAGTTTCCAAAGTAATAGTTAGAAATTGAATAATTATTTTGCAAACATTGACGACGCGACGTCTAAAAATTAGAAAAATTTGTTACAAAATTTTAACAACATAGTTTCCACAAATAATTACTGGAAATTAATACGTCACTCTATTCATTTGTTTAAACAATATTATCAGTGATTAGTTTAAATATTAATTTTAATGTGCTGCAACTCATTCATTCATTGTTTGATTGCACTTGTTCCTTGAATTGTTATAAGATTCCTTAAAAGATTTTATCACACTAGAAGTCTTAAAATGATAAGGAACTTTAAGAGTGTTTTTCTTGAAAAGTATAAAAGATATGGAAGATACTCTTATATGTATTTATTAAGTAAATTTTGGCCTACAATTTTAAATTTAAAGATATGAAAAAAAATGGCGAAACAGGAATTTAAATAATAGAGATACAAATTTTTAATATTTACATTAAATATGGTAGAAAGATACTCAAGGATGTTTTATTTTTATCCTGGATTGTAGGATCAAATATGAAGCATTTTCTTTACATCTCCACTATTTCTAAGTTTATTAATATTTTACCAAATTCATATGTACCTTTTTAATAAATTTAATGTCAATAACACAAACTTAGATCATCAAGGCAATTTGTATGGCTTGCATAACAAAAATCTGTATCCGGAACACAGTTTTGATGTTCAAACTCTGAGCAACAATTTTATTTCTTTTTCTTTTTCATCTCTTTAAATTTGAATTTGTAAACAAAAGTTTACTTAATAAATATCTCGTAATTTTTATACTTTTTGAAAAAATCGATCCTACAGTTACTTATAATATCATTTTGAAGTTACCATAGTGATGTAACCCTTCTACCTTTGCATTACAACTTGCTTATTAAGTTATATAATTTAGCCCTTGAACAGCAGAGCCTGTGTCAATCATATCCCAAACTTACAAAACATATACAAAGATATTAACCTAAAGTTAAATGTATAATTTTTAAAGGAACAGTGTAATATTTAAAAAATGAAAACAATATGAAATACAAAATTAAATTAAAATTGGGGTACTCTTCATGGTCCGCCGTCTGAAAGTTAATATGTAAATACGAATAAACTAATTTCCTTTGTAAAATTTTATTTGCAATAAAGTGCCTCTCATCAAAAGTGCATTTTGTTTTTAATTTTCTAGTATATGTATTTCGCATAAGAAGATTACAGTCATCCTTGGTATTGAAAGAGTTAATTTCAATATAGTGCAAAAGTCGTTACTAAAAATGCATTTGCCAAATAATTATCTCAGTTTAAACGCTCGATCAAATTTAATTTTTCCTTTTGTGCTGGAAATCATGAAGAAGAATCGATGGTAAGAAATTTCTGAAGAACACGATTTTTGGGTAATCATAAGTGGAATCATATTGAGAAAAGTTCAAGGTCGAGGTGTTTGGAAACGTCCTTGAACCAAAACTGGTCCCTCGTATGTCTATCGAAGACATTCAAACGGTGACGGACTTCCGGAAATTGTACGTTGCGTCTGCGCAATTGCCTCACCACCCCCTGGTGAGACGCATCTGCGCATTTTCCAGGAGAATTTCTCTCACAGGCGAGGTTCTGCCTGTCCTGGATTGTCGTGTTCGTTCCGACAGAGAAGCCTGCCGGAAGTGGAAACGGAGAATACCAACCCCTTCTGTTGTACACATATTGTGAGTACTACTTGTTTATCTCTAAATAATTATTTCCCACATTCTTTTTCATAATATTTTCGGCCAGATTACAAAAGGGTCGTCGAATCTCGCCATTTGTTTGTAAAGGAGTGAACATCATTGACATTGTCATTAATATATTTGTTGTCATTCACGTTATTGTTTTCATCTTCTCGTTTATGAACGATGGAATTTATTGTTGATTTAAAGACTCTTAATTTTGAATCATTACGTTTTGATTTTTCCTTTTCAATTGTGCTTCTTCTTTTGTTTCCTGTTTTGTTGTAATTTTGAGAACCCGGTATTAATCTTTGGGTGTCACAGATAGTTTGTTAAATGGATTGTGATTTAATATTTGCAGAGGAAAATCGGGAATCGATTCCTCCCACAGGAACGTGTCTAGGTCTGTTGTCCTTTCTTTAGCTCGACCATGCTCGATAATCCTTTGGGAATTTGAAAAATGAGTTTTCGTTACTGGTAGGTCACAAATGTCGTCGAATCATCACGCAATTCTCTCTTAAAATTATTTTCTTGTATATCTGCAATTTTCAATTAGAATTATTTTTATGACTTTCTGGAATAATTGTTTCCTTGTATATTTACAAATTTTTATCCACATATTTACAATGATCTGTTACAATATATTTGCAATTTTCTATTAAAGTTATTTGTATGACCTTCTGTAATAATTATTTTCTTGTATATTTACAACTTTCTGACACATTTGTTATTTATCCACATTTACAATCTTCTATTATAATTTATTTGCAGTTTTCTATTAAAGTTATTTGTATTATTTTCTGTAATAATTATTTCCTTGTATTGTATGTAATGAGCAATTGCAGGATATTATTATTAAGATACGAACTAATTTATTATTGATCGATTACTAATAATTCATAAATTTGTGTAAACCGAACTATTGTTATTTAATTAAATAAATAGGATTATTTAATAATTTGAAATTAATCAAATTTATGTTAATATTAATCTATCCGTTCAATTATACGAGTTAAACTTTGTGTATTATTTAAACCTGGTCATCATAATTACAAGATAGCATTACATTATAACATGTTTTATAAAATTTAAATTAATAAATAGGAAGTCTACTTTAAATATTTATATACTATTTCAGTATTATATATGTATATTTTGTAAACTTTAAATTAATAAGTTAATCATCTGCTTTGTATATTTACATATTCTTTTAGTATTATAAAAAATAGCATAAAATGTCTTTATTCAATATAAACAATTTTTATTCAACTGAACATTATGTAAATTTAGAAATAACAAGTATCTTGAATTTCGGTATCAAAATCAATATAATAAGATTAAAATAAATTCTTATTAAATCAAAATGAGTCTAAAGGATAGTTCATTTCAACTAATACCTGAGATTCTAGTATTTAGGAAAACTTTTCGAATTATAGTATAATGATAAAAAAGAACAAACTCAGTTTAAAACTATTAAGAACCAAAGAATTCTAGGTTCAGGGAAAAACGATCAGGGTCAATATTTCCCCAATGAAATAATGATCCAACTTAAACTCCCGTTGCATTTTCAATTCTCATATATTTCAGAAGATATCCGATTCCATCAAAACCCATTAAAGGTGTAAAGATCACATCAAATAAATCAAGGTTCTTATTGGATAAAAAGTATCATTTTCAAATCTATTATAAATGCAGTAGGATACAATTATTATAATCAAACTTCGGGCTATTGCTATCACAACAGTCGGTTTCAAAGCATTTTATATAAAATTAATTAAAAATAATCTGCCCATTACAATCGAACTTCGGCTGTTGTTATTACCTAATTGTAATAATTACACTTGACAAACGATAAGAATTCTTAGCAAATTCATACTAAAGAGACCTCTTCTTCAAAACTTACTTTTAACTGAAGCATATTTATCTTTTACATGAGTGTATGACGAGAACTCTTAGAAAATAGGGAGAGAAGAATGGGGTTATCGCGTTCACTTATGGCAAATTATTAATATCTTCATTTGAAATTGATTTTTTATGTAACTTTTTAATTCCAAGTGAAATACAAGGTTTTAATTTTAAGGAAAATCATCGAAAATATTTCAAAAATTATCAATGTTAAATTAATTGCTCAAAAGAAAGGAATTAATTGCTTAAAAGAAAAAAGTGACAATCGATGTCATGTGACCTGAGTAAGGTCAAGACGATCAGGTTAGGGATCGCGATAATCAAGATGGGGTCATGAAGATCGTTATACTTAAATCTTAAGGAATCGTGATCGGGGTCATGAAGGTCACTTTCGTGTTATGAATTTAAAAATGAAAAAAGTTTTGCTTCGATAAAACCTAATGCATATTATTTTTCCTTATTTTTTGACTTCCAATTTTTTTCTCGTCGCACCGGGTAACATTTTGACATTTGATGAAAATTGATAACTGCAAAGTCTCAGCATGATTGGACAACAGAAATCCGTGCCGCAATCGAGTTGAAGTTTTAAAATTTGTACGATTTCACGTTAACATCAGATGTATTTGGGTCATTTTATTTTACAAGTAGTAGCAAATATTTTGTCATAAAAATATAATATTTTACATATATAATGTTTGTGTACGATTTTCAACAATATATTCCAAATTACTGAATTTTACCGCTAAAGTTAGAATGAATCTTATTGCTTATTGGGTTCTAAAATTACAAAGCTTTTGCACCTTTGATTTGCTTTCCTCTAAAATTTGAAAAATGTCACATAATACACTCTGCCCCTGGGGGCTAGATATTCATATCTATATTAAAAATTTAAATAAGATTTGAACAAGATATGTTGATATCTTTTTCATTAAAACAATTGTTTTTTTTAGTATTATCATCGATACGTGAGAACTTTTATTAATTCATAGAATATATAATATTTACATAAGTACTTACTTCGTTCACACATAAAAGTTGTTGTTACGTCATTACTGGAATGAAATCCTTTTTGTAATCTCGTTATAGACACTTTTTTTCCGTTGGCTTACCACGCTTAACTTTAAGAAGGTAGTTTGGACTAAGCCCAGCTTTACTTCATCAGACAGCAGATTTAACAATGCAAATACCTTCCAGCAAGTCGTATAACACGATTTTCATGCTTTTATACCCAGGAAATTTTTATCTGTTCTTTTTTTTATGTTGAACAAAATTATGTGCAAAGTACTATTTTATGGTATAGTGAACTGTATTTTGTAGTTTACATCTTCCAATTATTATTGTTCATCTACTTTTTTTTACGTGCACAATTTATTTATTTATTTCGTGGGAATAAACCCTTTGATACAATAGATATAATGTAGGGGAAGATAACATACATAATTAAAATAATATGGAGTTACCTGTTTTACTTTGCTATATCAATAACATTTAATAAGGTATAGTATTGGACTGCAGATAGTTGTGCATTTATAACATATGGAAGCATTTAAAATATGTTAAAAATCAGAAAAATAAGAGTAAGCAAAGATAACGAAAAAAGTACAAATAATTATTGAATACTTCCTAAGGCTTGTTTTAACTCTTTCGGTCACGAATTATTTTTTCTTGAAAAAAAATCGAGGCTTTGCTAAGCAGTTTTTTGAATTAAATAATGATTTTTCAGTCGTATAAAATATCTTCAAGGAGGTCCCCAAGGGGGGTGTCACGCATCCATATAAGGACAGCGGTAGAATTTACCTAATTTCGATGTATTAACCACGTATATAGTATGTCCTTGTATGAAGACGCCATGACCGAAAGGGTTAAGGATGTCAAGGATTGAGCAAATATATCAATATAAAGGTGAACAGAGATGGTGTGGTTAGTTATGTTCGGTCTAGATTCGATTATACATATAATTAAAATAACTGTAGATAGTGATTACAATTATCTACATCGTATACATAATTATGTACATTCTTAACTAATACATATACAGAATAAACCAGTTCAAATTATCGCCTTGCCAAATAAAAAATTATGATATTAATATTTTTCAATAAATGCTGCACAATAAAAAGGGAACCATCATAAATACGGTGTCAACATTTTTTTTCCAAGTGAAGTCATCTGAGATTTTTTAAGATCATCTTTGTTTTTTTGTTTTTGTTTTTAAATAACATCACATTTTTTTACGTATACTAATTCTGCAAAACCATCTTACGTAAAAAGGCATTAGAATATAATGTTAAAGTAATCAACAATTATTACTATACCTTTTTCAAATTTTTATTATAAAATATTACACGAGTTATTCATTTCTTTTTATATCATGTACTAATATTTTTTTATGTGAAATGTTCCGAAAATGTGATTAACCTGAAAAGAAATGTATCATCCTAATATTTAAAGAGAAAACGAAAATAATCTTCAGAAGTCCGAAGCAACTCCATTTGGGAAAGATTGTTAACGTCATCTGATGGCCTCCTTTTTACCGTGCAACTTTTATTTGATAATATTTCTTTATTTAGCTTTTGCAAGTTTATACATGTACAGGTATTGAAACTGAAAGTTTTTGTTAATCTATTCTATATACTAGTATATAAAAATGTTCATCGTCCAAATTACGTATTTAGTAAAATGAATAATTTTTTTTAAATTTTGACCCTGTTTTGAATGACAAAATAAATTGAAATATCTAGAAGAATATCCAGATAGAGTGCAATCAAATGAAAATCAGCTTGTTTTGCCTGCAAAGCGTTTCGAGGAAAGTGGGTTTTCCAAAATAATTGTTGTAATCGGAGATCTCTTATTTCCGAAGATAAGAAGTTAAAAGTTCTCTTGCATTTCGAAGGAACTTTGGTATGAAAAGTAATTTTCGCGTATAGTGTTTCAGTTAGCTAATCTCGTAATATCCTAAAATTGCATAATTACAAACCCTTTAAACACCATAAAGTACAAGGGCTACAAGAAAGTAATTTGCCGCGGCGCGGCGTACTGAATTTTGCGATTGATTACTTAGGAAGGACGACTGCAAGTTTTCTAAAAAAATTTTTTGGACGGACGAATTAAGCTTTGATAATAATACAATGAGCAACACCCATAATGCTCGTAGGGTGCATTGAAAACCCAAAAGCGAGAAAGGAAACAAATTTCCAAGTGCAATTTCGCATAAACGTATGGTGTCGCATAATGAACAATGTTCTATTAAGACCTTATTTTCATAATGGAATATTAAATGAGGAAAGATATTTAGAGTTCTTAAGTACATCAAATAATTTTTAACAAAAAATACAACCGACTTCGAGATGATTCAGTTTTCATGATTATGATTAACCGAAAAATACATAGAAATAAAATTCATTTTTGCATTCAATTTCTTGAAATTTCTCAAATTACAATACTGTACATTTAAATATGGCTCGTTTAAAATATGCAATATACAGGGTGTCCCAGTTGAAGGAACTCACCAGAATATTTCCATTGTTTCTAATGTCATTAAAAATATTTATAGCACAATTTAAATGATTTTTAAAGTTGAATATCGCGGGAAAAAAATGTTTTATTTACTCTTTATTTATTTTCTTTTTTGCAAAGTCGGGATCATTTTTCATGTAGGAAATGAGTATTTTTTTCTGTTGCATTTTGTAGCTCCTGAATATGCCTGTATAATGATCTCCAAATAACCGTGAACAATAGAAGACAAAATTGCAAAACAATTATATAAAAGTTTACGGTTCGCGTTATTAAATGTTCGGAAACAATAAACGCAAAAGAACAAACAAAACATTTTTCTTCACAATATTTTCCTTTCAAAACCATTTAAATTGTGCTAAATTTTTCATAAGATTTAAAACAATGCAGATACTTAAGTGACATCCTTCAGTTGGGACATGTTGTATTCGTACAGTATTTGTATTTATAATTTACAATCAAAATATGTATTTCTTCAACAGGTTTATTAATTATGTACAAAACGGTACGAAAGGGCGATGCCAGCCTGCAGTACACAATTCTGCCGCAAACCGACCAGTTCTCATCGTCTGGTTTCCCTCAGACCTCGAGCAAACCGAGACCGAGGATCATTAAATACACCATGGGCACCTTGATGATCCTCATCATCCTGTCCTGTGTGGCGACTCCGTTCCTGATGAATCAAAACGACCAGAGTCTGTTCGCCAACACTGTTCTAGCGATGGGTCGTGTCAGTCACAACACAATAGCCAGGAACTCGTCGAGGAGTCAAGCAAAAGACGTTGTACACAAAAGCAAAAGCAGATTACCGCTGACGACGTCATCGACGGAAGTCTATAGAAAACCGGATGTTGAGAACGAGATGAGCACAGTGTTGGGGATGTTGAAGGCGGAGGTACAGGACACCGAGGATCTTACGATTACAGGTAGGAATTCTTCGATCATCTTGCTTCTCTTATAGCTCAAATTTATGGCTTTCTGAATCTTCATGGATTATAGCTTTGAAGGTGAAATGTGTACATACTTACAAGGGAAGTTCGGTAACTTGAAAATTCCAATTTTTTTTAAACTTTGCAGATTTGTAGGGGATCTCAAGAGAAGTATATTACAATTTTTGTTTTTGGCCCAATTTCAGTTCTTCAGGGTGAAAACATCCTCTAAAGGTAGATAGGCGTTTCTATATTTCCCTGTATATCTTTAAAATTATTGAGGATATAAAAAAATAGTTATAATAGACACATATTATACATGTGTGCTCGCACACATACGTGGTAAGTGATAACGCATCGTTTAAGGTGCATTGATGGGCGTACAAAGTACATGTATCGGTTAAAATTATTTAAATACCACTTTGTTCGACTTTAGCATACATGTCTGCATTTATAATAAGGTTCTCCGTATTTTTCGACGTGACAAAGAATTCAAAATTTTTCAAAATAACAGTGGTGGAAGGAATTTTTTTATTTAAACAAAGAATTTTTATCAATTTAATTGCCTCTTTTTATAGAGCATTAAAAACCATTCAATGTTTATTATAATCATTTTTTTATATCTACAATAGTTTTAAAGATATACAGAGAAATATGGAAACACCTATCTATCTTCAGGTGGTGTTTTCACCCTGAAGAACTGAAATTGGGCCAAAAACAAAAATTGCGCTATACTTCTCTTGAGTTGAAATTGCAAAGTTTAAAAAAAATCGGAATTCTCGAGTTACCGAACTTTCCTTGTTAGAAGAAATCAATATGCAATAGCATATCACAAAAAGAGGCAGTTTTGTTTAAAACGTCAAACTACCAAGTTATATTAAAATAAAAAATATGTTTCTTAACTCTTTAGCTACAGCACGTTTAAAAAAAAAATTATCAGCACTTTATGGTGTGATATTTCTAGAATCAAAGCATTTGATTGTTAATAAAAATGAGAAAACATTGAAACAGTTTTTAATATGTATTTAGTTATTTGATTGGTTGCTGCACTATGTCAAAGGCTGATTTTCATGTGTCAAGTAATTTAGTCGAATAGCAAGTAATTTAAGGGGATAGACACGGGTAATGCAGCGAGGTGACATTACCGGCAAAAATGGGCCTAAATGGGGGTTTAAGGGAATACACTTTTGTCCTTATATGAGAAGATTTGGGGCTGGATGAGGGCTCATTCGAAAGAGGAAGATCCAATGCAGGGCGGTCTGGTCACCGTTTGCGTCACAAAACTCTTTTAGTGGCTTAAAAATACTTGGATTCTGCGAATGTATTTTGTCGATTTTTACTCTACTTTGGACACTCATATTATTAGATATCAACACAATCTCGTTGAACCATGACCAGACCGCTCTACATTGGACCCTTCCTCTTTCGAATAAGCCCTCACCTAGCCCCAAATCTTCTCATATAAGGACGAAAAATGTATTCCCGTAAACCCCTTTTTAGGCCCATTTTTACCGGTAATGTCACCTTGCTGCTATACCCGTATCTACCCCCTTAAGAATTTACTGTGTGTGGACACTAAATAGTCGAGTAGTTTAGTAAAACGATTTAGTCGAGTAGATCTATTTCGTTGGATTTTCCTGGTTGGGTAGGCTTCTCCCGCTACTCACTAGTAACTAAGCACTTACCTGAACCTACCGAATCTATTTATTTAGTCGTGTTTATCTATTTATCTCTCTCGATTTCCAAAACACGACTGTACTAGTCCAGACAATTTTCTATGCACTAAACTATTTAATAGTAAGTAGCTACTCGCCGCACGATTAGATTATTCGACGTGTTTGAACCAGCCTTCGACAAACGTACAAATTAAATTTTAGCCCCTTTTAATGAAATGTAAGGTTAATTTTTGAATAAGCAAATTGCATTTCAATCGTTGAAATGATCTCTATCCATCACTCTTTATATTTCTGTTACTTCTCAAGTAGGTTAGGAATCTCTTCTCGAAAAAAGATGGAGGTTTTAGATAAAAAAACCGACAGTGTTTTCTTTGACTTGTTTAATTATTTTAAAGTGTGATTCAATTAAATGATGTTTAAATGACTGAAATAAGTGATAATCCGAAGAGGTTAGATCTGATAAGTAAACTGTGTGAAGAAGAGTTTCCACGCCTAACGAATATATGAAATTTTTTGTCCTTAGTTACATATAGCTAGTCCTATTATATATTGGATAATGACAGCGGTTCATTCTATTCATTTACTATTTCTTGAAATTATATTAATAGCAGAATTGGTATTATGATTTTAAAATTGATGCTTCAAAGATATTGTACAACTCCATCAGGACAAGAAAAAGATTAATTTTGTAACGGAGTGACTCGGTTGGTCATTGCGCACCGCAGCGGGATTAACCCGTGCCAGAGTTCGCAAGGTTGTGGTAGGGGTTCGCAAATAATAAAGCCTTATTCGGTGAACATAACTAAGCATTCATTTTATATATTCTTCTTGGCCTCGCCGGCGGAGGTCTTCTACCTTGGTCGCTACAATATGGAATTTGCCGGTACATGAAACAACGAATGGAGCTTCGCTCTTAACCTAAATATACATTATGCTTACTTGCTACGGACAGGATCCCGGTCCTTTACAGTCGGTACGCGGGTTTACAAACGCAGGTCTTACAAACTAACGCGGGTCTTACATACTAACGGGCGCCGATGTGAACGCGGTCGCGAGAATGAATGCGCGAGAGCGATCGGTCGAGAAAATCAGGAGGGTATGACACGTTCGGGCCAGTGTTCTTTATTACGCGCTGCGGTGTGGCGTCGCTGCCCACTTGCCTTGCGTGTTAGGCGGCGGAGGTCCGCCTCTACCTCCTCGGCCCTGCTTCTGGCTTGCCTGCGATTGCTCCTGGAGTTTTATAGCTGGTGGCTGGGCTTGGTCGGAGCGGGGGGCTTCTCGCGGCACCGTTGCCGGTTTGTCTGGCTGAAGAGGCGACCACCGGCTTTAGATCTCTGACATGGACGTGGTTCACGCGATTTCCCCTGTGGTCCCGGAGGTCGAATAATACTGGAGATACCCTTTTTTGTACCCTGTAAGGTCCAGTGGACAGTTTGGCGTTCCGAGCCTCCGCTTTGCTGGACAGCGTGTGAGCGCGTTTCCATACTCGTTCACCGACTTTCGGTTGCCAGTCGCGTCTTCGTTGGGTGTAGTATCGCTGCTGGCGTTGGAATTTCTGGGCCAGGTGTACCCGTGCATCTTGTAAATGTTTTAGCCGGAGTTTCCACGGGCTTGATGTCTTTGACCGGTTTTCCTGTTGTACATTAGTGGAATACATGTTTCCTGGCGGTACTCGTTGGCTTACCTTGAACTGCTGGCATTTGTGGCAGCTTCTGACGTATTGGGTGGCTTCCCGTAGGATTCCTGGCCAGTAGTATGACCGTGCTAGGCGGGCGAGCGTTTTGGTCACGCCTAGGTGCCCGGCGGTCGGATTGTCGTGTGTCTCTTCCAAGATGTGTTGCCTCTGATCGCTAGGTACGCAAATTTTCCATTGCTGTCCGGGTTTTGCCTCGTTGAAGTCCAGGATTGGTAGAATGTGGCGGAGTAGTTTCCCGTCTTCTATTCTATACTCTGGGTTCTCCTCTGGATGGTCCTTTACCCCCTGGTAGATTTTGTTGTACCAGTTGCACTGCAGTGGTAATTTGACTCCGCAAGCGGCTTGCAGCCGTCGCGACAATGCGTCGGCGACCGTGTTTTCCGGTCCCCGTCGGTAGCGGATTTCGAAGTCCCACTGGCCCAGCTCGAGTGCCCATCGGACCAATCGTAAGGATGGGTTGTCGATCTTTTCCAGCCATTTGAGGGATTGGTGGTCGGTGACCACGATGAAGTGGTATCCCTCCAGGTAGTGACGCATTTTCCAAATCCCCCATCTGACCGCGAGGCATTCCAGTTCAGTGGCCGAATAGTTTCTTTCGGCGTTATTGAGGGTCCGGCTGGCGTAGGCGATGACTCGTTCGTCCTGATCTTCCTGGGTGAGCACGGCTCCCAGGCCTTCCGTGTTCGCGTCTGTCTGCAAGATGAAGGTTTTATTCCAGTCCGGAACGGCCAGGACCGAAGAATCGACGAGGCGCTTCTTGAATTCGTCGAATGCCTGCTGCTGTGGTTCCCTCCACGTCCACTTGGTCTTTTTCCGCAACAGTGTGGTGAGAGGGGCCACTAGTTGTGAGACGTCGTGTAGAAAACGCCTATACCACGATAAGAGACCCAGGAATCTTCTGAGCTCCTTAGTGTTAGTTGGTGGTGGTACGTCTGCTACCGCGGCTACCTTCTCCGGGTCGGTTCGGAACCCTTCGCTGTCCACGATGTGCCCTAGATATTTTAGGCTGTTTTGTGCCATATGGCACTTTTCCCAATTCGGGCGGAGTTTTGCTGCCCGTAGTCGACGGAAGACCTCGGTTAGGACCCTGACGTGTTCCTCGAAGGTGGATGTCACTATTGCAATGCCTTCTAAATAAACGAAGGTGTGGGGTGCCATCTCCGGAGGTATTACTCTGTCCAGGAGTTGTTGGAAGGTGGACGGCGCCGAGTGTAGCCCGAATGGCATCACGACGAATTCCATCAGCCCTCGTCCTGGTACGGTGAAGGCGGTCAGAGGCCGGCTTGCTTGTGAGAGTGGCACCTGCCAGTACCCATTCTTTAGATCGATGGTGGAGAGGTATTTTGCTCCACGTAGTTTGTCCAGGGTCGCATTTACGTGCCGTAGCGGGTACGCGTCTTTGCGTGTGACCTGGTTTAGCTTCCGGAAATCTACGCAGAATCGGTATTTCTCGTTCATCTTCTTGGCCATGACGATTGGTGAGCTCCACGAGCTGCTAGACGGCTGTATGATTCCTTCGGCCAGCATTTTCTCGACTTCCTCGTCGATGAGATTCTGCATGGGTGAGTTGCACGGTCGGCATCGTTGTTTGATTGTAGTTGTTTCCTCCAATCGAATCTCGTGTT